AACTCATCAGAAAGTCTACTGGGAAACTGTTAAGCTTACAGTGGTGGATGCAAGTTTTTCAAAATTCTGATTTTCACTTGAAAACTCAAATTTTTTAATTGGCATAATTCTCTCAGCTGTTTTCCTTGACATGGAAGGCTCACTTGTTTCATTTTTGAGAGAACATCTGCCAAATACCCAACTCCATATAATCATAATTTTTCATACTTGTTTCCAAGTAAAAATGGTGTTCCATGAAAAAATTGACTTCTGCTCATTACTTAACCATAAAAGTACTCTTTCTCAAGACAGTCCTCCTTCAGTGTGCAATACAAGAGCTTTTTTTGTGTGCTTCCCATTTGACACACACAATATTAAAGACATACTCAAAGGTTTATAGGTAATAAGATGAATAATTTATATTGCTTCATCAAGGACATTCCTAAATCAAATGGGCTTTTATTGTGTTTGTGTGAATGTATGGTGGTGAAAAATTTTTAAATGTATCAAAGATTACCTAGCATAGCATTTCCCAAAGATTTTTTCCTAGCACATTGGTCCACAAGATACCATAGAGCTGTGCTGCTGAATATAGCAACCAGTAGCCACATGTAGCTAATGAGCACTTGAAGTCTGACTAGTCTGAATTGAGATGTGCTGTCAATGTAAAATAACACTAGATTTCAAAGAGTACAAAAAAAGAATGAAATACCTCATTAACAGTTTTCTCCCCTCACCTCCCCTCCCCTCCCCTCCCCTCCCCTCCCCTTCCCTCCCCTCCCCTCCCCTCCCTTCCCTTCCCCTCCCTTCCCCTCCCTTCCCTTCTTTCTTTTCTTTCTTTTCTTTCTCTCACTCTGCCACCCAGGCTGGATGCAGTGGCACAATCTCAGCTCTCTATAGCCTCTGCCTCCTACGCTCAAGTGATCTTCCTACCTCAGCCTCCCAAGTAGCTGGGACCATAGGCGTGCCACCATGTCCAGCTAAGTTTTTATATTTTTGTTAGGGACAGGATTTTGCCATGTTGCCCAGGCCAGGTTATTTTTTATATATTGGGTTAAATGAAATATATTGTTAATTAATTTCACCTAATTTTTTGTATTTTATTTTTTAATATGGCTACTGAGAATTTAAAAATTTAATATGTGTCTCACAATGTATTTCTATTGGACAGTATTACTCTAGAGAGAAATTTTTTGGCCACATTTATTTGGGAAAAAGTTGGATATACTGTTTCTCCTTGAAGATTTATTACAAATATTGGGATAGAAATACTGAAGAGTCTTATCCACAAACCTTTTTTAAGATTTTGGTTAACCCAGCATATCCCAAACATACCATATTGTTGGACCATTAGTTAACATTCTATGGAACTAGCTGTAGAACTGTAGAATTTGTTAATCCCTGTTTGGGAATAGTTCTAGTTCAATTATTGTTGTTTTACTCATGAGAATACTGAAGGGTAGAGTTGGCCACATTATATAACTTGGAAATTATATAAACATCTCCTTAGAGAAAGTTCAAGAAAAAGATATATATATATATATATATATATATATATTTACTGGTAGGGTGACCACTTGTTTCTAATTTGGCATAAAATTGTTTAAATTGATAATATAGGCTGGGCATGGTGGCTCATGCCTGTAATCCCAGCACTTTGGGAGGCCGAGGCGGGCGGATCACTTGAGGTCAGGAGTGATCCAGGAGGTCAGGAGTTTGAGACCAGCCTGGCCAACATGGTAAAAGCTTGTCTCTACCAAAAATACAAAAATTAGCTGGGCGCAGTGGCTGACACCTGTAACCCCAGCACTTTGGGAGGCCGAGGTGGGGAGATCATGAGGTCAGGAGATCGAGACCATCCTGGCTAAAACAGTGAAGCCCTGTCTCTACTAAAAATACAAAAAATTAGCCGGGCGTGGTGGCGGGTGCCTGTGGTCCCAGCTACTCAGGAGGCTGAGGCAGGAGAATGGTGTGAACCCAGGAGGCGGAGCTTGCAGTGAGCCAAGATCGCACCCCTGCACTCCACCCTGGGCGACAGAGCAAGGCTCCATCTCAAAAAAAAAAAAAAAAAAAAAAAAATTAGCTGGGCACAGTGGCATATGCCTGTAATTCCAGCTACTCGGAAGGCTGAGGCATGGGAATCACTCAAACTCGGAAAGCGGAGGTTGCAGTGAACCAAGATCGTGCCACTGCACTCCAGCCTGGGCAGCAGAATGAAAACTGTCTCAAAATAAATAAATAGGCCATGTACTGTTTATTACAGGCTCACGCCTATAATCCCAGTACTGTGGGAGGCTGAGGCAGGTAAATCGCTTGAGGTCAGGAGTTCGAGACCAACCTGACCAACATGGTGAAACCCTATCTCTACTAAAAATACAAAAAAAAATTACCCGGGCGTGGTGACACACGCCTGTAATCCCAGCTACTTGGGAGGCTGAGGCAGGAGAATAGCTTGAACTTGGGAGGCAGGGATTGCAGTGAGCCAAGATCGTGCCATTGCATTACAGCCTGGACAACAAGAGCTAAACTCCATCTCAAAAAAAAATAATAATAAAATAAATTGATAATATAGTGGGGAAGATCTTAAATTTATTTTTTTAAATCTTGGTTTCTGCCTTCAACTTCTGGTTTTAGTCTACAATATTGCTTAATGTTTTACTATGTCATATCCTAGGATAATGATTACTAACCTTTTAAAATTATAGACTGAGAATCTGAAAAGAAAACAAAAACTTCACAGATTCATCAGAATTATTAATATTCACACAACTTGTGTAGGATTTCAGGAGGTCATTGACCTTCTAAACCTATCCATTGACTGCAGATTAAGAATTCTTTTCTTATGGTTCAGGGATAATGAATTTATGGTTATTGACCAACATAACTCTCACTCTTGAATGGTAGTATTAAAAAGCCCACCAATTTGTAGATGTTTATTAGATATGTATATTGCATAATTCTACACTCTGAAGAATCCTGTATCATATAGTGTCACCACTCGCAAGGAATGTAATATTTCCTACGGCTTAAAACATTTTTGAAAAAACTTTACATAGTAAGACTCATTTTACCTTATCTTAGAAATATTTATGGAAAGCTCTGTAAAAGTGTAGAGTAAGTGAAATACACAGTGTACGGGAAAGGTTAGTCCTCCAATGAGCAGTTAGAAAAACCATCGTGTGCTATATGTAAGCAGTGTTCAGGATATCTGTAGGGAAGTGGACATTATCATAACTTCCAAACACATCTTGCATTAATCAGTGATTGTTCTGTCTGCTCACTCTGTCAGGGACACCCGTGCAGTAAGATGCAGAATTTCCCATCCTGCGTTTTTAAGAAAAATGCCAGAAGAGACTCTTCTTCTTCAGGAGTATAAACTGATGCTTTATTTACCAGGGCAGTACCAGATTTCAGTGTAGGCCCAGTTATACAGATTTATAAATCAAAGAGAATATAGATGAAGTTGGATGCAGTGGCACACACCTGTAATCCTAGCAGCTCAGGAGGCTGAGGTGGGAGGATCTCTTTAGACCAAGAGTTTGAGACAAGTCTGAGCAACATAGCAAGACCCTGACTCTAAAAAAAGATTTAAAAATTAGCTGGGGGCTAGGCGCGAGGGCTCACGCCTGTAATCCTAGCACTTTGGGAAGCTGAGGCGAGCAGATTGTCAGAGCTCAGGAGTTTGAGATCAGCCTGGGCAGCATGGTGAAACCCCATCTCGACTAAAAGAAATTAGCTGGGTGTGGTGATGTGCACCTGTAGGCCCAGCTACTTGGGAGGCTGAGGCAGGAGAATTGCTTGAACTTGGGAGGCGGAGGTTGCAGTGAGCCGAGATTGTACCACTGCACTCCAGCACGCCAGCCTGGGTAACAGAGTGAGACTCCGTCTCTACAAAAAATAAATAAATAAATAAATAATTAGCTGGGTATGGTGGCACATGCCTATCATCACAGCTACTTGGGATGCTGAGATGGGAGGATTGCTTGAGCCCAGGAGCTTGAGGCTGCAATGAACTATGATCATACCACTGCACTCCAGCCTAGGTGACAGAGTGAGACTCTGAATTTTAGGGGAAACGTGTGTGTGTGTATGTGTGTGTATGTACTGAAAGAGACAATGTCTGAGGATTGTTAACTAAAAAGTTTGAGACCCAAATCTGATCCTTATTTTCTGTTGGACATCTCTTGAAGAGTTGAGCTGCTATACAGAGATGGCTTATATCCACTAAAGGCCTGCACTACAGCTAAATTGTAATAGATCATTGGAATGCTTGGCATGCAAGGCCCTTTATGTGCTAATTCAAGCCTGAATCCTTTTTGCTTCTTTACATATTATCTGTATTCCTACTTGCCATATTCTGAACTTGCAACATACTGTTATTTCTAGTGCCTGGAATTCCTCCTGACTTCCATCTTTATCTACCTTTCAAAGATGCTACCTATTCTTTAAAGCTCAATCCATGAAGCCTACAGATGAGAATATTCCTTCCTTGGAACTTATTAATATCTTCCTGTTAGTCTTTGCACTGAATTAGTTTTTTATATATTTTTTCTTACCAAAGGCCAGGCCTGCATCTTACTCATTTCTATGTTCCTTACAGCACTGGCAAGAGTTTGAACTTTGTAGTTGTTCAGTAAGCATTTGTTGACTAAATGTAAAACCCCAGAGAAAATAGGTGGTACTTAGTATTAACAATTAACACATATTTTTATTTGTATATGGGAATTGGTAGGGAGCATCCTCGAATGGGAAAACATCATTTTGGAACTGGACAGGGGTGGGTGGGAAGAGCAGCTGAATGCTATCTCCCTTGCACATCTGACCATGCACAGTTTCAGAATTCTTGCTGCTTTAACTACTATTACTACCATTTTAAAAGTGTCTTAGTTTTCTTTTACCCTACACACTGTATAATGCTATTGGTGATTGCAAATGAGGTGTAAATTCAGATGAGTTAATCTCTTTATGTGATAATATAAAATATCAGTTTCCAAAGGAGTGATTTTTTTTCCCCATTACAGGCATGTAATGAATTTACTACACATGTGATGAACCTTCTCCGAGAACAGAGTAGAACACGTCCCATTTCTCCAAAAGAAATTGAAAGAATGGTGGGCATCATCCATCGAAAATTTAGTTCTATTCAAATGCAACTCAAACAAAGCACTTGTGAAGCAGTTATGATTTTAAGATCAAGGTTCCTCGATGCCAGGTATGTGAAGCCATAAATCTATTGCATGGCTTTCCCCCGTCTTTCACTCCTTGTATATTCTTTTCTGTAAAACTGACCCGTTGGTCTTAGATTCTTTTGGCCATATGAGCTCTTTTGTGCAATGGACAGGTAATTCAACTCATGGTGCCTGTGCTGTCAAGCTTTCCTGTCTGGGAATGGTAGTGTAGTGTGGGTTAGTTGCCAGTTTAGTGACTCAGGAAATGAATAGGATTGGCGTCTCTGCTGATGGCTTTAGGAATATGTAGCCTTTCCATTCTGATGCTAAAAAGTGTTTTTAAGGATAGTTTTCTGCATATAACTATTTTAACAAGGGGTATTTTCTAAGAGTTTCTTAATGTTACACTGCTTGTGCATATTATCGGAAAATACTTGGAGATATTGATACTCCTAAAAAGGAAGAGGCATTTCAGTTAATAGCAGTTACCACAAAACTCCAAAGTCTGTATATCCAAATCAAGAAAGAAAGCCTATCATTTTTCCTGTAAGGATGAAAATTTCCCTTTATCTGAAGCTTTCCCCAAGTTTCACAGGAGTTAGGTAATATATTGTATATGGTAATAAATTGTATGTGGTGACCTACTGAGTGACAGAAGAATTGTCAATGTCCTAGTGTACGCTGCCTCTGTAGGGATGCCTCTCGGGGCATTGCCAAAGCTTATGATCAATCTGCAGCTTTGGAAAGGAGTTTCTGTTTTGCTTTTCTTTCTTCTCCCATGGAATCTGACAGAGGTGATAATTATCATCCAAATCTCACAATATTAAAGGAAATGACTAAGATAGCTTCTCAACTGGAAAACAAAGCGTGTGGAGCATTTTCAGTGTTTTTCCTGTTAGCTCTTTCTTTCCGTCTCAGTTCCTGTCCATCCTTTTGTACGTGAACCAGCACAGTACCTACTAGTCTCCCTGTCTCCAGTCCTACTGCCCTCCAGCCCATCCTCCATATCCCTTGTTTGTTTCTATAACATCACTGTGCTACTCTGATTGCTTTGCTTAAAAACCACGGTAGTTTTCCAATGCTGGATATATGCATACTTCACATATACACTCCTTATCCTGACATTTAAGGCCTGTCCCTGTCTGCATTGCTTCTTTGTTGTTGTGAAGATTTTATTATTCTTTTTTCTATTTAAAAAATGCCAAGCTCACTATGGAAAGTTTGGAAAATATATGGAATAAAAGGATAAAGGATAAAAGTTAACCTCATTTTTATTACCTAAAGAAAAAAAAATCACTATAAATGTTTTACAGTATTCTCTCTCTTTTTGTTTGGGGGCTTTTTAAAAGAAATATTTCTGTGATGGGTCAATTTACACAGTCTGGTCTGCTTTTTAAAAAATTTACCATGAATACGTAAACATTTCCATGTAGTATAAGCTCTAATTATAAATAGCATTTTAACAATTGAAGTTACCAAATGTATATAAAATAAATAATGTCCTTAGCATTCTCTTATTTTTGAGCATTTAATTTGTCTCCATTAATTATTCTTTTTCTTTTCTTTTCTCTGTTTTTTATTTTTGAGAGAAGGTCTCATTCTGTCACCCAGGCTGGTGTGCAGTAAATGATGCTCTCATGGCTCGCTATGGCCTCAACTTCCCAGGCTCAAGTGATCTTCCTGCCTCTGCCTCCCGAGTAGCTGGGAGGCATGTGTCACCATGCTCGGATAATTTTTGTATTTTTTGTAGAGATGGTGTTTCACCATGTTCCCCAGGCTGGTCTTGAACTCCTGAGCTCAAGCTGTCCTGCTTCCCAAAGTGCTGGGATTACAGGCAGGAGCCACCATGCCCAGCCAACTATTAATTTTCGTATAATTTCTTCCTTTCTTCCCTCCACAAATATTTATTGGTACTGAGGATATATTGGTAAACAAGACAGGTTAACATACTTGCCCCAATTGAGCTTATATTCTACTTAAGGAAACAGACAGTAAACAAGTGGACAAATATGCCATAACACTGTATTTAATAATGTAATGAAATGTAATAGGGTGGTAAGTGGTATGCAGAAAAATAAAGCAAGTCAAGGGGAGAGAAAATGTAGAGGGTACTATTTTAGATAGATTTTTATTGAAACTAACATTTTAATGAAAATCTTCATGGATTAAACCTTTTTGGTCTTTAGGATTATTTCCTAAGGATCAATTCTTAGAAATGGAATTATTAGATCAGAGTTTGAACATTTTCAGTGTTCTTATTTATATATCACTAAATTGTTCTTTCCTGTATTTCTTCCAAAAATGAAATGCTTCATGGAATTATGTTTCTACTGCTTAGAATTCGTTCTTTTCCTAAGTCTAACCACTTACTTCCCTGGCTCCCACAACAAACCGTCTCTCTAAGCTGGTTACCAGTAATGAGTCATCATCTGTGAGGGTATCTGGAATGGAGCCCGGAATGGAACCAGTGCTTGTACTTGTTGGATCTAGTGAGATTTTGCTCATCGTTCCAGGTCTGGTCTAAATGCTCGCTTTTCTGAAAATCCACCTTAATCACCCCACTGAACTAGCCCTTCCTTCCCTTCAACACTTATACTATGTTTATACAACTATTCAGACCGAACTTCCTGTAGACTCCCTTTTCTTGTAGTTTTTCATGAACATTTCTTCTCTCCCTTAGTAAGCCACAGTGTCATTGAAAGCAACAGCCAAGACTTACACATTTGCATTCCCCACAATTCTAGCAAATGACTTATATGTTAGAGGCTACCAAAAATAATTTATTGACTGGCCAGATGAATGAATAATTCCACTTAATACTTTGTAACAGCTCAAATCAGGGTTAGAGAGGTAGTATCAGAAGACAAAAAACATTTTAAAATTATTTGTCAAATTTGAACATTTTATTAAAAAGCCTAACGTAACAAAGATAGTAAAACATATGCCTGACAGAAAGGAATATTTTCTAACATAATTGCTCTCCTTATTTCTGCTGATGCTTTCCCATTGTCAACATGCATGCTTATTTTTTAAATAACTGCACTCATAATGTATACACCTAAATAATTTATTTTTCTTCCATGAAGAGAAAGTATATTAACAGCCTAGAGTGAGCAGAGCCAGAATGAGAGAGTGGCAGAGCTTGGAGCAGAGTCTTTTCTCCCGCAGAGATTGCTGTTAGTAATGTTGTGATGCTGATGGGACACAGGCCTGGACTGATGTGCCACTGCACACAGGCCTGAGGCATAGCCATTTAGAGTGTGGTGAACCCTGGGGGAGTGAAACTGAGGGGAAATGCTTAATGGGCATTTTCTACAGGATGTTTTCTAAAAAATAAATAACGTGTAAGACCAAGTTCTCTCCTGTGCCTTCGAGTGAATGCAAATACTGAGCTTTGGTTCCATCTATTCTTGTAGTGCCTCCCAGCAAGCCCTCTGCACTGAGAAGGCAAGGGGCTCTGCTCTAGGCAAACATGCTCAGTCGGATATATGATTCCCTTGCTCACTCTGACTTCCCATGCTCATGTTTTCTTCATAATTGGAGCAGACGAAGCATGCACCAATGCAAAACATTTAAGAATAAATTTGTGTGGGTCTGTCTCCTCTTCCAGGAGAAGTGCTGTAGTTTGGACACAGCCAGAATGTCCAGTGAGCTATTCTGTTTGTTCTCTGAGGTGTTTTGATGTTTGTTAAAAACCACCCCTGGGCAAAAGTGATGTGAGCCAAACTTCTCTTTGCTTTCCTAGACATATTTCTTTTTGATCCTCCTTTCACACATCCCTATTTCCCAAAGAGATGCACTTGTGTCATCTATTCCCATCTACCCTGGGCCTTGCTCCTGGGCTCCATGTTTTATACTAGGAGTCACAGACTCACATGCTTACATATAGTGGAATTGAGTAGAGTGGCTGGATCAGGGATACAGGGAGGGACAAGGAGGGTTAGAGCAGGCAGGTGCGTATCTAAGGGGGCACTATTACTCAGCTTTAGCCTAGAGCTGCCTTCTAAGAATGTGGGCCCAGTATGACTGATATCCCAATTTTTCATAAGAAGTCAGAAACCTAGATTTTTATGAGCAAGTAATTACTGTGTGGTCTCAACAAATAATGTCTATGGGTCAGATAATGCCCGTAAATTTGGCATTTTCAGTATCTAGTCTAGACCTTACCCATGCACCTACTCATCAGAGTGTACCTCTTCAACGTACTCTCACCTTGGGACCTTGTCTTTCTTTTCAAGCAACACATGACTCCTGCAAAAATGCTAACTGTCCTTCTTTTTGGTGTATTTGTCCTCGTTCCCTTCCTTCCCTGTCTTCCCTTACCACCTTCCCATCCAGTTCATCATCAAATCCTGTTGACTGTAATCCCCAAATAGATCTTGAATCTCATCTTCATCTCCCAGAAAACAATAGTTTAACCCTCCTAAAAATTATTGAAATTAAGAAATTTCAGGACTAAAACCTGAGTTGTTTTGATCAGACCTAGATTTCTTGCTCCCTTGACTCTCCCTTAATGTTGAAATGTAGATCACATACTTAACCTGCCATATGAGTGACATCATTTTGACTAGAAGAATCTCATACAGTGCATACCTTTACAACAGCCTACTGACTTTGTCTTTTCTGACTGTGGGATATCACAGTTGAGAAGAATTAAGATTATTTGGAAGAGAGTATTAAGAAAATTATCCGGGGAAAGTATTTTCTAGTTACTGGGGTACTTAATTGAAAGTGAATTCTGACAAATGATAATTTTCAGGCTGGCATTCTTTAAAATCTTAATTACAAAACCCAAATATAAATGACATTTTTGCTACTTGAAATATATTGTTAATAAATGCTTGATCTTTTGAAAGTCTGTTGCCCCCTTCCCAACAAAAACAAAAGAAAAATTTTTGTTCTCTCCTCTTTGCCTAGTGAAGAAAATCATACCCCAGTCCAGGCAGTTGCTTAAGCAGAAAAACCTAGAAATCCTTCCCAATGTATTTTTTTTCCCCCTAAACGTCCTTCTCTATCTACCTCACTCACTCCTCCCATTCAATACATCATCAGGTCCTATTGCTTTTACCTTTCAAGTAGATCTTGAATCTTATTTTCATTGCTCTCACCTTGTGCCAAGTTACTATCATCTTCATTTTGACCAGTGCAGTCATCTCCTAAAATGGGCTTTGCAGTTCTTTTCATGCCCTCCTCCAACTATTCTCAGCAATCAGAATGATCTTTTAAAAACATGAAACTTAAAACCTTTAATAGTTTCCTATTGCACTCAGCATAAAATCCAAAAATTCTTATAGAGTCCACTGAGCTTCTATAATCTGCCCCCTGCCCATCCTTCCAGACACATCTCACACATTCCCTTTTACAGTGCTCCAACCTGCTCTAACCCTTTAGACAAGATATTTCTGTTTCAGAACTCTTCCTCTGCCCAGTCCTCTTCCCTGTAAGCTCTCTGATAGACCTTGTTTGTTCTCACTGGATCTTCATTGAATACCTAAAATATTAGGTCCTTGAAGAATGAAGCACAATTAATTGTGTTTCGTAGTCTGGTATTTTTCTCAGTGATCCTACATCTTAAAATGAGTTGGATAATGCTTTGGAGGATGTCTAGAACATAACTTACAATATTATAGAAATAAATTAGAACTTAAGGATGTTTAAAAAGAGAAATCTACTTTTTTGGTATCATCCTAATTAACCTATCCCTCTTAGGTTAATGATGATTGTAACTGCAATTCTTTTTTTTTTCACTCTTATCATAGACGGAAAAGGCGTAACTTCAGTAAACAGGCCACAGAAATCTTGAATGAATATTTTTACTCACACCTCAGCAACCCCTACCCCAGTGAAGAAGCCAAAGAGGAGCTGGCCAAGAAATGCAGCATCACAGTGTCACAGGTGAGAAAGGACCCATAGGTCTGTCTTGTGCCCTGTGGATACAGGAACCCCATTCCTCCCTCAGGGCGTTATAATCAAATTTCATATCCAAATGTTCTATCATCAAAAAAGATACAAAGAAAATCTAGATATTTCTACAGTTTTAGGCAAGTGTTTTTGTTTTGTTTTGTTTTGTTTTTGTTTTTTGAGACAGAGTCTCGCTCTGTCGCCCAGGCTGGAGTGCAGTGGCCAGATCTTGGCTCACTGCAAGCTCCGCCTCCCGGGTTCACGCCATTCTCCTGCCTCAGCCTCCAGAGTACCTGGGACTACAGGGCCCGCCACCTCGCCCGGCTAGTTTTTTTTGTATTTTTTTAGTAGAGACGGGGTTTCACCGTGTTAGCCAGGATGGTCTCGATCTCCCGACCTCGTGATCCGCCCGTCTTGGCCTCCTAAAGTGCTGGGATTACAGGCTTGAGCCGCCGCGCCCGGCCAACCTTTGATAATATTTAAAAACCCTAAGTGGCAAGGAATCAAGACCACCACCACCCCCATTCCCCAGTGTAAATCTTCTCTAGAGAGGACATAAACGTGCCATGGGGAGAGATGCAGTTTACACTTAAGTGACTCTCCAGTAAATGGCATGTATTCCTGATTTCACTGATTTAGATGACTGACCTAAGCTTCTACCGGCAAGAAACCAATTTATTTTGTTGCCAAAACGAAATTTAATATAACTCTTTGGTGAAAGCTTTGAGGAATTCACCAGGCCCTTTCTTGGTAACATACTACAATGTTTGAGTCCCAAGGATTTCTTTGCTTCCTTGTTATCCATTAAACACGGAATTAAATTCATGCTTTCAGGGTTTTTGGTTTTGGGGTTTTAAAAAAAAGTTTATTTGTAATAATTTCTGACCCTGAAGTTAGTTGTCATATTCTAACAAAAATACATTCAGTTTTAGTCAAATAGACTGGTATTTGGACTGAGGATTGGAAACAAATAAATTAGCAAATACCTGTACCTCTTTAGAACATAAATATATCCTATTAGCATTACCTCTAAAATACAAATTTATTTAAATGTTCATATTATTGTTAATAGATGACATTTGAAGAGCATTTCTTTATAGCATGCAAAAGCAGCAGTTTACCAACCAGTTTTTGTAGTGAAACTTAAGGAAAAGCTGACCCTTGTCAAAAATTTCAGTGTTCACTAGGGGTCACATGAAACCATTTTTATAAGTAGTTTCTAAATAAATACTCATGCTATAGATAAAGTTCAAGATACTAAAGATCCCCTTCAAGTTCCAATGAGGGTCTCATGTCAGTGTATGAAGTCATTGTTATTTAAGAGAATAGGGCCTGGGTGTAAGATGATTTCCAGCTCCTCTTTTGGCATTATTTTCTGTAGAAACTCAAGAGCAAGCTTTGATTCATAACTAAGGTTTCATTCAAGGTTTATTGTCATTTCTCTTATGAAATGGTATATCTTGATTTCTTTGTACACTCTTAGAAATGGAATATAACTGATTTGGATTACCAGCTTACATAGACATATATTATATAAAACATTACTAACTGGGTTACTTACTTCCATATGAAATATGGAGGAATAGTATGATATGCCGGGTTAGCTGGAGAAGACAAAATTAAAAGAAGAATCGTTTCAAGTAGGGTTTTATGGTGAGTGCCTTTTCCCTGAACATTAACGAAAGGATTAGGTTCATGCCAAACACCAGATGATGATGCCACGTCTGGTTTTCCTGTTCTCATAACCACTCTCTGATTTAGAATTTGAATGTTTGTGGATGAATTTAAGGTATTTTCTTGCTTCCACTCTTTTTTTGAAAACACTTCTATAATATATGCACCATTAGAGAATAACACAGATTAATATCATCTATTTCAAAAACAATGAAATCTGGAGTTTTCATTAGCTGTAGTACTTCACACTTTGTGTGTAGTGTAGAGTGTGCTCAGTACACACTTGTGGAATAAGTGATAAAAAGGTTTCCTTCTGGCTATTCTGAACTAGGGAGTTTTAACTTCTAAAATAGGCTAGGAACCCATTTACCAGTGTGTGTTTTTAAAAATAGTTAATTACTAAATTTATTTCACTTGTTTTCTGTGGAAAAATAGCTTTATTATGTTTTGATTTTTTTTTTTTTTTTTTTTTTTTTTTAGCAATTGCTAAGAAAAAGGTACAGAGGTAGAAATAATATAGATATAGTTCTGTTACTTTGTCTAAAAAGCAAACTTTCTGACCTTGTTTCTTCCAGGTCAGCCTTTCAAACACAGAATTTGAGAAATAAGTTATGCTTATAAATTTTATGCTTATAAATTAACGACCTTTTGTTTAAGTTTTTAAAAAGTGAAAGCAAAGAATTTCTGTTCCAGGCCTGACAGGTCAACTGCTTTTGCTTTTTCTTTTTTTAAGACAGGGTCTCACTCTGTCGCACAGGCTGCAGTGCAGGGGTATGTTTGAACTGTAACTTTGAACTCCTAGGCTCAAGCAATCCTCCTGCCTCAGCCTCCTGATTGCTAGGACTACAGGCATGCCACCACACCCAGCTAATTTTTTAATTTTTTGTACAGACAGGGTTTCACCCTGTTGTCCAAGCTGGTCTTGAACTCCTGGCCTCAAGTGATCCTCCAGCCTCAGCCTCCCAAAGTGCTGGGATTACAAGCATGAACCACTGCACCTGGCTAACTGCTTTCAAAAGAGAAAAAAATATTGTTTAAAATGTAAATCATACTGAAATACGATGAAATTTAGAATCCAGAAATTGTTCATAGAGAAAACTAACTTCAAAAATATTGAAAGCCCCTGAAAACAGGCAATTGGAATAACACTATTTTTACTAGATGTAGAATATATGAAACTGTGATTTATTATTTACTGCAACTGCTTATAATAATAGGGAAACTTCAGAAGAAATGTAAGGCAATATCTTTAGTGCTGTGAGGGCAGGCTAGAATTTCTTAAACAGGACATAAAATGTGTAAGGAACAAAAGAAAAGATTGATAGATTCAATGGTAGAACTTTTGTTTATCAAAGTACTTAATAAAGACTGAACACATCAACATGATACAACCATTGAGTAAAGATTGGATCAGATATAATTATCAATAGATATTATATCTAGAGGAAAATTTAGATGAAGAACACGGTCTTAAAGTATCTCTCCATAGACCATTTAAAGTTGCAAGAGATTTTTTAAAAGTAATAAATAGAGTGGAGAAATGGAACAAAAACTTGACCAAGTGATCAGAGTCAACATCACCAAGGAGGAGCAGACGGACATTAGGTGTAGTATTTCATCCAAGAACGTAACGTGAATCTAATGACAAGACAACACCAGACAAATCCCAAATGAGGAATGTTCTATTGAGGACAGAAGCGGGGAGGGAGCATTATTCTTTAAAAACATCCAAGAAAGGCCATGGAAATGTTCTAGATTAAAGGAAGCTAAAGAGATATGACAAGTAATTGCAATACTTTACCCTAGATTGGATTCTGTACTGTAGGGAAAACCATACCATAAAGGATATTGTTGGGTTAAATTTACTGAAGTAAATTGAAATTGATAATTGTACTATGGTTATGTGAGAGAATCTCTCTAGACTTAGCAAATACACACTGACTGACTTAGGGGTAAAGGACCATGATGTATATAACTTAGCCTCAAATGTTCAGAAAAAAAAAATGTGCGTTTGCATGTATATGTGTGTATGTGTGTATATGAACAGACATACACACACAGAGAGAGCATGAGTGCCCACAAAGATAAAACAAATGGGTGAAAATGTTAATAATAGGGGAAGGGCATATGCAGATATTTCTCTTTTTTTTTTTTTTTTTTTTTTGAGACGGAGTCTCGCTCTGTCGCCCAAACTGGAGTGCAGTAGCCGGATCTCAGCTCACTGCAAGCTCCGCCTTTCAGGTTCACACCATTCTCCTGCCTCAGCCTCCCGAGTAGCTGGGACTACAGGCGCCCTCCACCTCGCCCGGCTAGTTTTTTTTTTTTTGTATTTTTTAGTAGAGACGGGGTTTCACCAGGTTAGCCAGGATGGTCTCGATCTCCTGACCTTGTGATCCGCCCGTCTCAGCCTCCCAAAGTGCTGGGATTACAGGCTTGAGCCACCGCGCCCGGCCTGCAGATATTTCTTTATGTCATTTTTATTGTTGCAGCTTTTTTGCACGTTTGAAATTATTTTCAAATAAAATATTTTCTAAACTGTGGGGACAGTCCACAGACTGCAAGAAGATACTTACAAGTGTATAAGCAACAGAGGATTAAAACATAAAATATAAGGAGTGCCTATAAATTAATAAGAAAAGGCAAAAAACCTATTTCAAAAATAGGCAAGAGAGTCAAGGATTTCATGGAAGAAAAAATAGAAATGGTCAATTGTATGAAAAGATCCTCATTCTTATTAGCTATCAGGAAAATGTGATTTAAAAATTGCAGTGAAATAACTTACATTTCCTAGTTTGGCACATTCTGCTACCAAGAATGTGTAGCAGTAGGAGCCCTTATAATATTGGTGGTAGGGATGTAAATTGATATAGTCACTTTGGAAAACTTCTGACATTATTTTATAAATTTGAACATGCATATACCATTCAACCCACAATTTCTAGAATACCTCTTGTCTGTATTTCAGGAAACACTGGTAAGAACATTCATAGTAACATTGTTTGAAATGGCAAAAAAATTTGAAACAAACCATTTGTCCACAGACCAGAGAAATGAGTAAATATGCTTTGTTATAATCCCACAATAGAACACTATACAGCAGTGGAAAAAGAGTGATCTACATGTATCAATTCATGTTGAGTGAAAAACGCAAATTGGAGAATACATGTAACATAACATTTTTACAAAGTTTAAAACCAAGCAAGCTAAACAGCATATTGTCAGGGGACACATATATATGGTTAAACATAAAGGAAGAAAGGCAATAATAAAATTAAAAAAGGGCCGGGTGTGGTGGCTCACGCCTGTAATCCCAGCACTTT